GTGTAGTTTGCTTTATATTTGTTTCCCCCCATGGAAATCTGGATTCTTTCGTTGGCGATTGGAGCATCAGTCCCATCCACCAGCTTCACCTAAAGGAGTGAATCCAATCGCCATTGCTTACAGCAGGCAGGGAAAGCAGCTCCCAATGTCCTACTGGCCCGCTGCCCACGCTTTCGCCCTGTGGCAGCTGCAGACGCAAGTGCTACTTTTTCCCCAGAGCGTGAGATTGCAAGCCTGGAGTGGACTGTATTCATGTCTTGTAACTGCCTGGGCTCTCAGAGGTTCCCTACCTGCCCGAAGAAGGGGATCCCCGGCCGGTAATGAGAGTCCACCTGCTCAAAGCTGATTTTGCTCATGGTACCTGTGATCTCACTGGAGTCTGTCCCAGTTAGCTCCACCCCTGCAAGGAAACATGGCAATGAGGGGCCTGAACCAGTGCACTGACCTTCCAGATGCTTCCATTCTCCCCTCCTCCACCATCTCCACCACCCGCCTCATGTTGTCCAGTTGTGCCTGGGCCCTTCAGTGCCGGCTTGCAACACCCATTGCTACTGCAGAGCAAACCCACAGTGCCACAGGTCAGCACGAGGCATACCTGTACCCTCTTCTGTGATCTTGCCTTCCACCTCAATTTTCATCTCGTTACCCTTTCGCTTGAGCTGGAATATTTTAGTCTTCACCACACTGGAGACACAGCCTTGACTGTCCGCCTGAGAGAGAGACCAAAGAGGGAATCACCCTGCAAATCCCTGTTCAATTCAGGTCTGCGGGAACACGATCAGGCCAACCTCCAAGACGTTTGCCAGCTGCTCGGTTTGTCCTAACCCCAGCCTCTTATTGGCTTGGTCCAGCCCGACACCCTCTTTTTCTTTCCTCTGCAACAAATCAGCTGAGGTATCTCTGGTTCCCAGTGGCTCATCCTACGTGTCTGCTGCCTTCCATGATGAATTGCACTAAAAATTCTCAAGGTTACACACCTGGATTCCACCTGGTTCCCTGATTTTTCAGATCACGTCCCCTCGATTTGCAACTTCCCATCAGTGTGATTCATCTTATTGTGTCCCACCTTAGAACCCTCTTGCTTTCTCCAGGCATGTTTTCTCTTCCTCCTCCTCCTGTTCTCTCTTGTCTTTCTCCTCCCTCTGTCTAACTCAGCTCTATTTTCTAAACAATGGAGGCGCTAATGGTTCTTATCAGACTCTTGTAACCATTTAATCTTTAAATCTTCAACTATTCATTGTTTTTTAAGTTTTTTCTGTTACAGACTAACTCAGCTTCCCCCTTCCCACCCTTCCCGAAGCTTATCTACTCACTGTCTCTTTTTTCTTCCTCTCCTCCTGTTTCCTCCCCCTCCCTTCCCTTATTTATTCTTGGATCTGGACTTCAAACGCTCTGGTCATCTGAGGAAGTGGGCTGTGCCCATGAAAGCTCATGATACCATCTACATGTTTTGTTAGTCTTCAAGATGCTACTAGAATATGTGATGCATCTGACGAAGTGGGTCTTTGCCCATGAAAGCTTATGCTCCAATAAATTTGTTAGTCTCTAAGGTGCCACAGGACTTCTCATTGTTTATGCAGATTCAGACTAACATGGCTACCGCTCTGATACTGGACTATTTGTTGTTTTTTAAGTTTTTTCTATTTTCTCTGTCACTTTTTTCTCCTTCATATTCTTCCTCTCTCCTTATTGCTCTACCCCATTCTCTCTACTTTCTTGCCCTGTCTCTTTCTTCCTCCTCTTGACTTCTCTCTTCGGGTATGTCTACACTACCCTCCTAGTTCGAACTAGGAGGGTAATGTATGCATACCGCACTTGCTAATGAAGCCCGGGAAATTCAAATCCCGGGCTTCATTAGCAAGTGCGGTATGCATACATTACCCTCCTAGTTCGAACTAGGAGGGTAATGTATGCATACCGCACTTGCTAATGAAGCCCGGGAAATTCAAATCCCGGGCTTCATTAGCAAGTGCGGTATGCATACATTACCCTCCTAGTTCGAACTAGGAGGGTAATGTATGCATACCGCACTTGCTAATGAAGCCCGGGAAATTCAAATCCCGGGCTTCATTAGCAAGTGCGGTATGCATACATTACCCTCCTAGTTCGAACTAGGAGGGTAATGTATGCATACCGCACTTGCTAATGAAGCCCGGGAAATTCAAATCCCGGGCTTCATTAGCAAGTGCGGTATGCATACATTACCCTCCTAGTTCGAACTAGGAGGGTAGTGTAGACATACCCTTCCAGATCCTACAGTTCCCTCTTGATTTCACCTCTGCTCTGCTCCCACTTTCTTCCCCATCTCAATCCCATTCAGATCCAAAAACCCCTCAGGGTCCTCTCTTTCCCAGCTAGAAGAAACACCCAGCATGGGGTGAATCCTGACGTAACTGATGTCAATAGGAGTTTTGCCGTTGATTTCAATGAGGCCAGGATTTCACCTGAGGGGTTTCTCTTCAGAATTTGTATCCGAGTCCAGGCCTCACCTCCTGTTGACCAGTACCTGTGACAGAGCCTTCCATAGTGAGCACAGAATGCCAGCTAAGGTCTAACAACCCCTTCTGACAGACATGGATCACCATCCCCAAGAGAGTTGCTTCCTGACTATGGTTTGCATCTTGGACTCACCTGCCCGGTGAATTCCTCACACACAGCCTCGCTCTCTCTTCCATAGCAGCTTGACCTGCCTTGGGAAAACCTCCGGCACACACGGACACTCACGAGGCCGGGGACAGGGGGCCCATAGGTGTATCTGTAACCAGTGGGGTCAAAGAGACGCACGATGCTTAGATGGAGAGAAAGAGGCAGGCAGAAGTGGCCTTTGGGGCCCTTTACACTGTTACCCCGAGGACTCTGTGCCTATTTTTCCATGACTCAAGTGATGGGGCTGCAACCATTCCCAGGGGAAAGGGTTCAACTCCATAGCAGACCATTAGGACATGCTGCCTGAGAGTCCAGCTCTTCTGCCCTTAATCAGGTGAGTTTCCCTTTCCCCAGCTGCCTCTCATTTAGTCCAAACTTTCTGGTATGGAAGAGCCCAGAACTGTGGACTGGTTTCTAGCTGTAGTCTCCTCAGAGCTGTGGGGCCAGAGCTGAACACTGTCTTCCAGCTGGTGCCTCACTAGCACTGCAGAGAGAGAGCTTACTTATCTCCAGCCATTGCTTCCTACAGGACACCCCTTCAGCTCCAGGCATCTCTTCACCCCAAAGCATGAGACACATGGGAGGGTGTTCTCATGAATATGGGCAAGGAGCTGGAGGGAGAGGTTTGTGAGGAGGAAAGGATGGAGATAAATCTGGTGAGTCTGCTCATGGGGTGGAATGGTCTTAAGAAAGGGGACATTTGGACTGAAGAGAGAAGAAAACTTTAATGACAGGAAGCTGTTCAGGGCTGAGGCTTCATTTCCTGGGGCAGGGGGAGGAGCCCCATCCCTTGGGACGTTTGAAGCCAGAGCTGGGGGCAGACTAGAGAGCAGGGAACAATCCTGCCCATGGGCTGGAGATGGAGTAAAAGTGACCCAAGGGGCCTCCTCCAGCTCTGGTTTCCGGGCTGGTAGTGGGAAGGCATTGGTGGGGGAGCAGAAAGAAGAGCAACAACTCACAGGCCACAGACAGCTACTTTCAGCTCCTCGTCCTGGATGGTGATTTTCTTGGGCATCCTCACCGACACCTCGAACTTGGGCAGCACTGAGGGGGAGAGAAGGGCCAGATGCTGGACAGAGCGGAGGGAGCACACTCACATCACAGTCACTTCCCCACTGAGTGACAGACCCAGCCTGTCTCCCTGGCCCCCGATGCATGGGCCAGATTCTCAGCCTGCTATAAATCACCACTGATGTTCTGGATATGATAGGCTACAAGGAAGTGGTGTGAAGAGTGGAGTGGGAGAAAGGCGGAGAGGAGAGGAGTGAAGCAAGTGTCACTGGCAGAACACAGGGGGAGCAAACTGTGCCTCTGGCATGCAGCATTCCCACAGGTTGCTCTGCACCCCTACCACAACCTGCACACAACTGATAGGAAATGGGCCACACAAAAATAAAGCTGCATTGTACTGAAACTGAAATCACAGCCCAGATCTAGGAGACCTGATGGATGGGTCTTTGCATGAAGACCCCCAACACTACCCGTGACTCTTGCAGTCTAAGTCATGGGGAGAAAGCTACACACCCCTGACTCGAAGCTGAGATTGAACTCTAGTGCAAGAGCTACAAATGGCACCCTAGAAGGAGTTCTTGTTCCACTAAAGTAGTGGTCTCCAAAATGTTTACCTCACTTCTCCCATAATCCATGGGCCCCCAAAGCAGGGGCCAGGAGGATGCAGACAAGGTAAAGGAGTGGAGGTTGGGAGCACAAGTGGGAGCAGGGCCAGAAGTGGAGGTGAGGTCAGTTGCCTGGTCCCTGGAGGCAGGGCTGGCAGCTGGGCCCAGGAGAGGAGTTAAATGGTGCTTCCTTCCCTCCTCCATGGAGGCTGGCCTATATCAAAGCTGAACCCTGATGAATGTTCCTCTCCATGCACCTAAGGAGGTGTGCCTCATAATTTGCACTAAAGCATCCAGTTTTTCCTGGCCTTTAGCTCAGATAAGTCATCACTAAGCTGGACACCCTAGATAATCTTAAATTGATTTTTGTGCCAGGAACACATCCCAGACATTAGTTCTGTCTTCAAACAGTCTCAGCCCCAGCAGGAGTGAGACCCTTCCTTACCATATTCCTCCACAGTAAAGGAATGTTCTAGATTTGTCCCCGACTCCTTCTGTACCACCACATTGTAGGTGCCTTGGATGGGCTCAGAGGTGAGGAGGAAGGAGAGCTGGGTGAGGCCCCCATTTAACTCCACCTCTCGCCACTGGAACACTCGGTTCTTCTGGGGGTCCTGCAGATGGGGAGAGCACAAGGTCACAAGACAGAGTGACTCATACAGGCAGGCTGGCTACATAGTATGAAGCTTCAGGGCCATTTCAGTCCAATGCTCAGCAGAGACACAGGAAATACATGATCATCCCTGTGATGGTCTATTTCATATTCTATAAGGAAGCAGTCTTAAATATGAATATGCCCAACTCACACATGCTTTAAGCAAAATATTGCACGTAAGGTATCATTGGAAAGCCTGCAATCTTCTGAATGTGTAGATTCTATTTGTATGCATGTACCAGTTCTATATCTGAAATTAGGAATACTGACTGTAGATGTATGATCATTGGGTTCATGTGGGGAAAAACCTATTTCCAGTCTATCAGGAACAACAATGAAGCAGCTAATAACCCATTATCCAGAGACAACTGAGTAGGAGAAAACTATCTCCATGCAGAAGTGCTACAAAAACACATGTCCATGTCACCTGATGCTGGAATCCATCTTGAATTCTGTACTTTTCTGCACAGGTGTTAGAGAATCAAACAAAGGCTTCCTGCCCTAGGGAAATTCTATATAAAGCAAGGTAAGTAAATTATGATTGTCCTCATCTGGCTTTACAAACCATCTCCCCACCTCACAGGGATATTTGGAAACAAAAGGACTGTAATGACAGAGGCAGAGGGTATGTCTACACTAGCCCCCTAGTTCGATCTAGGGAGGCTAATGAGGTCGACCGAAATTGCTAATGAAGCGCGGGATTTAAATATCCTACGCTTCGTTAGCATGTGCCCGGGTGGTCACCATTTTAGAAGTTGACTAGCCCGAAGTATCTGCCCGCGTCTACACGTGACAGTGAAACGGGATTCCGAATTAAAACCCTTAAATTGAATTAGTTGTTAAACCTCATTCCAGGAGGAACAACAGCTAATTTGATTTAGGGCTTTAATTCAGAATCCCGTTTCACTGCCGCGTGCAGACGTGGGCAGTTACTTCGGACTAGTCAATTTCTAAAATGGTGACCGCCAGGGAACATTCCAAAGAAGCGCGGGATATTTAAATCCCGCGCTTGATTAGCAATTTCGGTCGCCCTCATTGGCCTCCCTAGATCGAACTAGGGGGCTAGTGTAGACGTACCCAGAGAGAATTGCTGGACCCAGGTGAAAAGAACTTTACTTGGAATAAGAACTAGGATGAGAAATTATGATTTGTAACAGATTCTCTTAATGTACAGGCAGTCCCCAAATTACGTGGATCCGACTTATGTCGGATCCCTACATACGAACGGGGCTTTTCTCACCGCGGAGGACGCGGGCGGCGGGACCGCCCAGATGTGCCGCGGTCCCGCCACCCGCATCCTCCGCGGCGAGAAAAGCTGCTCCGCGTCTCCCCAGCAGACCCGGGAGGGCGCAGCTAGTGCGCCCCCCCTCCAGCAGACCAGGCTTTTTCCTGCCGCCCGTGTCCTCCGCGGCGAGGAAAGC